AAATATATACAGAATTAAAGTATTTTTTGAATATAGCATTGATTTCCCTTTTCTCCTAAACTTATATAAATAAAAGAAATCAGACTTTTTTTAATTGATAGAAAAAATACAGAAATTATATTAAAAACTGTATATTACCTATATATAATTATATACCTTGTCTTCTTCTTTCTTATCTCAAAGCCATGATAATCATGGTGGGTAGTTAGCGGCTGCTTTTACTGTAAGCGCACCACATGTATATACCTTGTATAATACCTTACATTAAAGTAAGGTTTGTTGGGAATCTTTAATGGTTTAGACAATGAAACAATTAATAATAAGTTTACTTACAGCTGAAATGGTTTTAAAGAATTAGACGATTTTACCTTTTTTAAGAAAGTATTTTAAATTTATTATTTTCAAAGACAGAGATGAAAAAAAAACATTTAAGAATTTAAAAGCATGAATGTTTCTTTTATACACAATAAAAACTTCTAATGTCCTTACTGCGATGAAAAAATATATTGGGAGGGCTTGGCTCATCAGTGGTGAATCCTCCCAGCTCCCAATGTATTTTTCATCGCAGTAAGGACATTAGAGGTTTGTATTGTGTATAAAAGAAACATTCATGCTTTTAAATCCTTTCATTTTATATTTATAGATGCCGCGTTATTGCTTTGTGTTAATTTAACAATTTACTTACTAATTATATAAAACCATTTCAGCTGTAAGAAAACTTATTATTTATTGTTTCATCATCTAAACCATAAAAGATTCCCAACATGGTAGCAGAGCTCGGTTTTGAATCGCGGTAAAATATATATAAAATATAGGATAAAATATAAATAAAAACAAAAATGGCTGTCAGCGAAGATATCGCAAATATTGAGAGACTTAAAATACCTGAAAACAACCATGTGATAAATAATAAAAAGCTTTTACTCGATGAAGTAAATTGAAACTCAAAAATACCAATAGCAAAAAAAAAAAAAAGAAAAAGAAACTCTAATAGCAAAATCAGTCGGAAAATTTCAAGGAATGAAATGTGATCTCAAGGAAATGATGTTTGTACCAAACTTGACAAATAATTTACTATCGGTAAGTGCCATTACCAGAAATAAAGGCAAAGTCGTCTTTGAAGATGAAAAGGTATTTGTCGTAAAAAAATGGAATAAAAGTTTTAGAAGGAGAAAAACAGGAAAATGGACTCTATACAGAAAGATTCCCAACAAGGTTTAATTCAAACAGCCATTAAATCAGTTTTTTTTTTAAAACATGATTTTTGAAAATAACAATGTCACTGTGATAAATATATATAAACTGATATAATCTTTTATATTTTTATGACACAGAAGTGTTCTGCTAAATTCTTAATTGAAAGTCATGGTACTGCCTGTTAAGTCATGTGGAAGTTTTGTAAAACTTTTATAAGCCTTGTGTTGTTATATTTATGATGCTTCAAAGAATAATAATCGTTGAGCATTAATGCAACAAAGACATCTAACAAATAGGTCAATTTTTTTCTATCAGAACGGACTTCAGTCCTAGAATTAAGTGATTCAGATTCCACCAAATCGTTAAGCTGAGTGTTGCAATGACACAACAATATAGAATTTTTTTAAATGTCGATATTAGTGAAGTTAAAACATATATTTAATATATTATAAAGGACTGCGGCGTATGATTATAAAACAACACTTAAGGTTTCACCGCATAAGTCTCTAGATTGAAGAAACTTATGCGGTGAAACCTTAAGTGTTGTTTTATATATTTAATATGTCAAAAACATGCTTAACTCTTTTAGTAAATAAAAAAATAATAGATAAATTAACTAATAATACTTAATTTTTAAATATGTATTAGGTAAATTTGTGTTGAAGGTTTTATAAAACTCCAAAAGAGAGTTTTAAAAATTATAAATATATATATAAGTAAAAATAATGAAGGCACATCCTGACTAGGAGCACATGTGCTTTTTTAGATGGCAGAGCACCTTAATTATTTTTAATATCAACACCTGACCTTTTTATTATTTTTTTAAATTGTTTTTTTATATATATATATAAGTATTTTAAAGAGATTGAGCAATCCATAATTAAAATTATATTCAGAAAATATGCATATATTGGATTTATAAATATTCTTATTATTCCGATATTTCGAGGGGCAACTCGCTTCTCTTTATCGAGGATGTTTGTGTTTCTCAGAATGAGAGTGATACACGCGTTCTTACGTGTTTTAATGAGAAACACAAACATCCTCGATAAAGAGAGGTGAGTTGCCCCTCGAAATATCAGAATAATAAAAATATTTGTAAATCCAATATATGCATATTTTCTGAATATATAAGTATATTTTGAGAGCTTTGTGATATTATGAAAGTTGAATAAGAAATTCTGACAATTTTTTTTTTTTTTTTAAATAATATATATATAAATAGCTACATCAAACTTTAGAAAATTTACCCATTGATACATGTTGACGTTCTCTGCGTTCCAGGAATCCAAGTTATCATTATCTTTCTCAATATATATACTTAAAGAGAAGTATTCATAGCCCAAGTTCCGAGCGCAGAACGCAAACTAGGGCATAGATATACATATAAAATATCTACTTAATATATATAAAAAACATTTTACCTTTGAAATAATGAGTTTCTGTTATCAATGAAAAGTTATTTTTAAAACAGCGAGTCAAAATTAATTATGTCATATTTATAACTGCTAAAAACATGTCACTAATCAGTCACGTTCAACCATTTTAATAATCCTTCAATGATTTAAAAAAATATAATATTGCAGTTTTTTTTTTTTATAATAGATAATTAGTCAATTCAAAATTTCTATGCTATCTCCTTCTATTTAAAAATTTAATCCTCTCAATATTATTAAATTACACAATTGAGAAAAGAAAATTTATATATTGGATTTGAAAATTTGATTCAGTCAATAATTCTTGGGGCTTCTTTCTATCAAAAAAAATTGTGTTTTGAATTAAAGCACATGAGCAGGTGAGCCACTCTCGCCTCAAGACCAATGTAGAAATTTAATGAATTTTTTAATTTATATCCACCAATATATGTCTCGTTTTTTCTCTACTATCTAATAAGATTTTGTTTATGTCATCAAATACATTCTCTCTATTTTTTGCCAACTTTCTATTATTATTGTATTGTATTTCAGACAAGATGAACTCAATCAAAAAGGTATCATTTCTTCCTTCAATAAACAAATAGCATTGACCCTTGCAGAAAACTTGTTTAAAAATTGAATCTTCCCTTGTGATCACAAAAAAGCGCTTGATCTGTAGTTTGAAAATTGACTCTTTGCTAAGATTTTGATCTATCAGTATAAATAGGCTCTTTAAAAAGGTATTTGTGCAGTTGTCAGCATGTTCAAACGACATGTTGAACTGAAACCTGGTCTCTTCCTTTTTGGCCTAGAGCCGCCTTCCTTTTGAGCTTTCATTTTCTTTTACATTTCAATCTACGATATATGCTATTATATGCTTTTTTTGATTTTGTGCCTTATATATACATTGTGGTACCTACCTGAATGCAGCGATTGTCGTCCATGACTGCAACCTGTCCCTTCACTTGCATCCACTAATTACTACAAATATGGCGTATAATAATATGACGTGTAATTGATGTGGAAACCCAAAGAGACGTTTAAATTCTATTAGCATTGAATACGTGTCCATACCAATTCGTAGATGTAGGATATTTACAAATATAATTTGTTTATTAGTTATATTGAAATATGTTTTGTTAACTTTCCAGGAGCTTCTGAAAACGGCTGCTCTCTGATGACTATCTTTCTTCTAACTATAGATCCTTGGGTGCGCATTGCCTGCATATCCTCAATTGTGCAGGGGAAGCTATATTTGTTTATTTTGATATATTTCTAACAAACTGCCATTATATTTGATCTTTATTGTTCACCGGAGACATTACAAATTTCAGGAAAGTGTAAATCAAAGAAATTCATCTCCTGAAAAGTTTTATTTGATCACTTATTAATATCAAGGTGATTATAGTCTTCTCAAGGTGCAAATTACCGTTTCTGTGAGGAGAGGAATGTGCCATGCTAACGGTCTTATCACCAGATAGATGGCTAAGGGCATTCGTGCTCAGGAAGACTTTTTAAATAGTGGTATTGGAAGTTTCTTCTTTCACGTTGAAGAAGCAGATACGTGGGAGAAATTCTCTTTGCTCGCGGACCTTCATTCTTTTGAAGCTTGCTTCTCAAGAAAGATCCGACGACAATAATGGCTTCAGGCTTGCTGGAGTGAAGTACCAGCCTACCCTTGGTTCGCAAAAAGGCCAAGCCACTTTGTTGTAGAGGCTGAGCAGACCTGACGGCCTTGAAGATTTCTCTTCGATCTGCATTAGTGTCATATGCCATGACAGCTGTATGCACTACGGATTTCTTCCCGTGGAGCTTGGTTTTGGGGGAACTTGCAGAAGCGGATAGGCGGGGAGCAGTGGCGTTGCTGGTCCTTTTGAATGGATAGATGGCAGCTTGGGGTTGCTTCTTCTTCATTGGGGAAGAAGCGGGCTTCTGAAGAACGGGAACAGAGGAAGCAAGCTGTACAGTGTCTGTTTGGGCACTCGAGTCAGACAGATCCTTGGGTAGCATGACTTGGGACTCCATTTGATCTCTGTAGTCCAGGCGCTAGTCGCACATATCCTTCCTCTCCTCTAGTAGAACCCGATGAAGCTGGTGAGCGCCTGGCCAGTGAAGTCTCAAAGCTGTAATTCAATATATTGAAGGCGGGCATCGATTGGCAGTTGTTTTGGAAGAGTCTGAACTTGTTATTGCACTCTTTATCGACGTGATCCAAGGTGACATCACATAATTCGCGTTTCTTGAGCGCCGCCATAGCGCCTCCAGCGTGTAGCAGGGAGTTCCACTCGATGAAGGCTGGCGGCAGCGGGAGGGATATCTTGAATGACACCAAGAAATTCCGGTTCAGAGTGTTGAAGGCAGACTCCAAGTCAATGAAGCTGAGAGCTGTCGTGTCCGACGAGTACGACACAGTCTCGGGGAGCAACATCATGTTCCTCGAGGCAGTGTCGACCTCGTCAGACACGCGGTCTAGGTTCCAGGAGAAGGACCGTCCAAAATTTTCGTAGGAATGATGCTCCGGAACAAGCTGTAGCAGACGAGTCCGCAGCCGACTGAAGAGAACGCTGCTGAGGACCGGGTAGTCTGCCGTTAGATCGGTGACGAATCTGTAACAGTTGAGGCCCGGACTACCGTAGTTTTGTGAAAGCAGACTGAGTGTCGCTGTGGAAATGGAGACAAGGCCTCGTAGATTTGAGAAGTCTCGAAGATTTTCTGGGGAACTCCAACTAAGTTCTAGAAGGCTATCATCAGTTCAGGGCAGCTCATGCTAATCAGATGTTCGTTCAAGCGGCTGATCGCTCAGGCAGAATATAGATTTGGCCGAGGGTGGTATAGGTTCTGATACACTTGGACCTCGAGGTCACTGTTAAACTAAGGATGTCAGCCTATTGTATAGTACAGGCATTTTATAATAGAAAAAAACCCCAACCTAGTTTCATACAGCACAGGCGTGCTATGGTACAGGCAATATAAGAAGTGGGAAGCAAGAATTGATGTAGATATATGTGTACTCCATACACAAAGGTAGGTTTATATTGGATAGAAATAAATATGAGTATTGTGTGTTGATTTGCAGATAATTAATTAACTACTATGATGGCATCAGTATAGATAATAGACGCTAAAGCTAAGAGCCATCCATTGACCGTCTCTACAAATAGTAGACTCGAGTCGGTGACAAAGTAAAAACATCAGTTTTGTAAAATTCAGAACACCCACTGAAAGCCAATGTTTCGGGTAGGGTCTTCCTCAATTCAGGGCGGGTTTTGATTTCATAGAACCCATTTTGGATTCATGACATTACTAGAATTTGCCAAAGAGGCGTTTAGCTGGTAAAGTGGCTAGGTCAATTCTATGGTGCTTAGTTTTAGCGTCTATTTTGATGGGAGAGGTGACCTTTTATTTTTAGATCAATATCTTACCGGTAAAATTTACATCTATAGTGATATTAATGTTATATATCGATAATGATTAGAGGCATATTGAGGTGATAATGAGAGTAATGTGAATAATGATATCACAATATCTATCACCTACAATAACAATTTCTCATGAGAATTTTAAAAAATGCACACACCTCCATAGTAGCACATTTGGTTTGAATATTTATTCAAGAGCTTCTATTGTTAAACCTCAGTATTTATTTGTGAATCCAGAATGAAGGATTTTAACACTTTCCAAAATCTGGGTGGTCTTATTTTATGTTCGCACATAATAGATATAGGAAATACAAATATTAAGGCACGGATGTTTCTTTTGAAAATAAAACAAACTTCTACTGTCCTTACTGAGATGAAAAAATATTGGGAGGGCTTGCTTCATTAGTGGTGATGAACCCTCCCAGCAGTTTCGCCAATTTAATCTATCAGACCGTTTCTCAGAGCTATAATACTGTATTGGACGATTCTGCTTATATATGCTACACTGAAGGGTGGAATCTTAGAAATGATTTTCAAGAAAACTATGGACATAAGCTTTTAGGACAGCAGTATTACGTTTAAATATTTGCATCGAGCAATGCTCTTTCGCAATCAATAATTATTGTTGCCTTATATACTAGAGACTTTTAATCTTTTCTGTTAATGGGATATTTTGGTATTTTAAAATTCCGAAGAAGGGTTCTAAAGAGAGAATTTAGATATGTCACTTTTTTGTGTGTGTCTGTGTGTGTGTGGAGCGTCGAACACCAATCACATGGAAAGGATTCCAGACGATTCTCCGATGTATATGACATTACAAGATGAAAAAAATATTTTATATATTAGATTTTTATTGACTGCTTGTTTTTGGTTCGAGTTATTTCGTGTCGAAATGATATAAAAAGAGGTAGATTACAGTTGAAGTTGGCCTCTAAATCCCAGATTTTGACCGAAGTGATGGCGATCCTACTTGGCGACAGGATAGAGGACGGCGAAACTCTGCGCCGCGAGGGTGGCCAGGTTCTTTAAGAGTCGACTTAGGCGTGAAGATGTTCATATAGCTGAGGCACGGGTCCGGAATTCTGTCCAGGTCCAAAGTCGTCTCTTGGATATCAACTGACGGCTGCTTTAGGAATCAGAGAAAGTCCATGCTGCTCACGTTGAGCACGCTATGTGGAGGCTCATAGCGTGCCTTTATTGGTTGCTGCTCGCAGAATTGTCAACCACATGTTGACAGTGAAAGTCTCGAATGAAGGTTTGAAAGTGGGATGATATCGATAAGCAGTTCATTCAAAATTTCAATCTGCATTTGTGAAAGGTTACCCCCAGTTTTATCATAGGGCGACGGAATATGGATATCTGCACCACATCGTTCCTTTTGAGGCAGATTTTCTCGAAATCCAGAAAGATATTACCAGGATGATCTCTTGAGAATCTCTTCGAGATGTTGGAGAGATTTTGTTCACCATGGTTCGACTCCAGTGATAGATATCTGATTCCTGGATGTTCTGAAGAGGAGTCTCTGGTCTATGTTGCACAGTGGCGACAGTACTTGATGAGGTTTAGAGTTATTCTAGTAATTTAGCCTACAGAAAGGAAGGGTTCCTTATGGTTTTGTTGCACATTGATGACAGGTGAAGGTCTAGATGTAGTTGTAGAGTTCTTGGGGGATGCAAGAGGCTCCTGGAAGGAAAGCGGCGAGGTTGGTCTAGATGTAGCTATTGCCCCAATGTTTTTCTCTCTGCCGTAGATGGACGGAAGCGCATCTTGTAACATCAAAACGTACTTCGTGGAAGAGAAATTGCGGAGTAATCTGCCCAATTTTATGTCGAAGTAGGTGGGTAACTATGCATTTTAAGGTCTTCGTTTAACATGATGTTTACCTCTCGTCTACTGTCTATCTACTATAAGTCTTAATTCTTAAAGGCTGTCCATTTTATCTGCCTAGTGATTGGTTCTCTACTGTTACGTGACCCCATAATCATACAATTAGCGTCAAGTTGAATGACCAATCAAAATGCAATGTTTTTAGCTCAGTAATTGCATTGAACAAAAAAGCACTATATTAAATATTAGATAATGGGTATTTGTTAGAATATTTATTATTATTTTTATGATACTAAAATATATGTTTTTATTTTGTCTTTTTATTTGGATACTTAAAAAAAACAAACTATATTTTAGAGTTGTAATTTTTATCCTCGTATTGTAGGGATCTATCGCTTCATCTTATTCAGTAATGGTCAGTTTTAGCGGATTAAGAATAGTTCGATTTAATTAAGCCGACACATTTTAAAGTTTATTTATATTTGAAAGGTTCCATTGCATAAGTTCTAGTGAAGGGATTTTCCCCGATGATGATGTACATGGGCGATAGATAGCCCGTAAGGGTGTTGGGCCGCGATTACATAGCGGTCCAGAATGAAGATGGGGATGTTGCTAACAATTAACCTTTCAGCCAGCCCTTTCCGTTACGGGAGGTTTTGAGGCCTTCAATGATGAGGCCTGGAGATTGCGGTTGAAATGCGGACGAGGAAGTTTTCCTCTCCCTTCAGTAGCTTATCCTGGCCCTGAAGGTATATTGGGGCTGAGTAAAACCCGGGTATAATTCAAATGTGCTCAACAATTGCCCTGCCCTACTCTCAGACATTCTTTACCTCGTTCCCTTGACGTCTTGGAGGAGAGAATTTTGCTTGATGGGGGTTGACGTCCAGGGGTTTTCGGAGTCTTGGTTGATGTCGTAACTTCGGTTTTATCTGCCGGAGTAGTGATATGAAATCGCCGTGTGTTAGGAGTGTTGTAATCTTGGCCCCCTTGACGCGATTAGGCTGAATGAAACTGTCTCACATGAGCTCATCATTTTAGTCAAATTTTGAGATTTTTTTAGATTGAATAGATTTTTTTTATGAAAGCATACCTTCATTCGTTTTTATCATCTATATTTGCATATCCATTTTTGTTGATTGCGCCGCCCAATTTGCATATCCGCTCGATGCTTGGTTACCTTGGATATTCAGTTTCCAGTGCCATTTTTTAATAAGATAATTAGGGGGATATTTAGGAATAAATTTGATGAATTTCATCAGTAGATTCCTCTTTTGAAAAAAGGCCTCTTTCAGTACCTCACACAATAAGGGGTTTTCTTTATACATATATTATTAATTAATTATTACATTATTATTATTTTTTGTTATATTATTTACACACTCATTACACACACCATACATGCACCACGCCACTCACATCTCCTACACTACATACGTCACACACACCACTTACTCACACTACAAACACGCCAAACACATCATGCACCACAAACACGAAACCTTCATAAACGCACCCTACACCTTAATGGTTTATTTACGAAATGTTTGTGAAAGAGATATTGTCTGAGGAATTTAAAATCAAAGATTTGTTCAAGATTTAGACTCTCCTCAAAGTGTTTATGCTCATAGTTCCTTAAAATACCTTTGCAATTTTTTTCAAAAAAGAACGCCGGATATATAAGCAATACAGCCCAATGCAATATTGAAGCAGTTCGGAAGATTAAACTGGCGAAACGGTTGTGTTCACCATTAATGAGCCAGGCTCTCCTAATATATTTTCACCGCACAAAGGGCAGAAGAAAAAAAAGTTTTTTATTCATAAAAGAAAATTCCGCTTTCCATATAAAATATTTTCAAGCATCATTCACAGAAGACGCACTATGTAGTATATATATACTCGAGACTCTGGCATGGTTTGGAAGAATCATTCCATAATTCTAGACACAAGTCGCCCTCTTACAAAACACCAATTGTTCTCTAACTACCATAGATAGTCAAGACACGATAAGAAACGGAATCAGGCAGTGCTACCTGAGAAAAGCCGTGCAAAATGTCCCCCGTGAATGTTATACACCTATCCCCCGATTTACACGGTAGATACGTTCCTGAGAAAAACGTGTAAATCGAAAATTAAAAATTTTCGCGAAATTTTTATGCGAAGAAATACAGACACAGTGTGCGTGTGCAGCAAGTCAGCACATAAGCTCGGGATTCCTCGT